CTTTTTAAAGGCATTTTTCACCTCTACAGACTATCAAAATTGAGTTAAAAATTATATGAATTTAATTTGGATATTTCACTCGCGCGGTGTTTTTTTTTCAAGTTTTTTCCTGATACTTGAGTTTTTTTCGCACCTTTAAAACCTCTTCGAATTGTATTGGAGTGTTAGCAATTTTTATGCGAATTAAGTAAACGTTAAAAAGTCCCTATCCATAAATTTCGTTAAATTAAATTCGAGAAGGAATGATTGTTTAATAATGAAATGTAAGAGATAAATCCCTCATTTCAGCTAATTGTTTGTTCTATTCCATATGTAGAGGTAAACGTAAATTGATAAATACTTTTCAGTTAAAGTACTTCCTTAATGACAGAGCTCTGTTACGAACGAAAACTTTTACAGCAGAAGCAAAATTACACCTTCATATATTCCGTTTTATTGACTTTGATGCACCCTAGATAGCTTCGGTACTCGATAGTGAGAGGTGTCTTGGGAGATGATGGATGACTCAAGGAAATGGGTGGCGCGATGTAGTCGCTGTTTCTTCAGTAAATGTTGCTAGTAGAAATAATGTAGGTATGTAGATAACATATGGCATGATATCTATATAAATAAAATAAAGATTTTGTCTGTACATTGAATAGAATCAACCCGTTTTTTGATATATTTCCGTTTCATACATTGCCGACATCAAACCCACTTTAAAAAAATTTTTGTCTGTCTGTATGTCCGCATTGCAACGAAATTTTGTCAGGGGTAAGCTCAGCAATGGCTTATTGTAGGCTTTTGAAATCTTGACATTATATTAAGATTTGCTTGACTTAAAACATAGGCTTTAAATGAAAACAAAATATTGAGGAGAACCAAAGTTATGAATTCTTGAGTAATTTGTCTAGAGATCTCGGTTAATTTTGATAATAAATATTAATAATAAACATATGTTTTAGGTTAAATATTATCTATATAAATGAAATAAAGGTTTTGTCTGTACATTAAATAGAATCAACCCGTTTCATGATATCTTTTCGTCTTATACATTACAGACACCAAATCCGCTTTTAAAAGATTTTTTGTCTGTCTGAATGTCTGCATTGTATAACAAAATTTTGACATTATATTTAGGTTTTCTTGACTGAAAATATAGGCTTTAAATAAAAAGAACCAAAGTTATGAATTCTTGGGTAATTCGTTTAGAGATTCCGGTTAGGGAGTTACTTATATCGCTTCTCATCCCATCTTCTCTATCGCGAGCGACATTTAAATGTTGTACTACTCAACTGATGGAAAAAATTATCACAATTCAACGAGAAAAATCCGGAATACCGAACATGTGTAACGCGTTGTTGCATAAAACGGATAAAACACTCGCTTTTATAAAATTTAATTTAGACCCTCCTCAATCCATAATACAAAATCCATTCCAAAAAAAGATTCTTAAATTTTAACTATACACCCGTCAACGATTGGTAGATCAGCTAGTTATTTCTAAAAGGTTTTTTTGTCGGTACGCCACTTCGTCAATACTTCATCAAATCCAATGATTGACCACTAATTTTGAAGATATTCTTCTCCTTCACATGCAAAAAATAGTCATATCCCTCCGAAATTTCCGGAAAAAAAGTTATGAAGAAAAAGAAACTTTATTTGCGAACAACTCAAAAAGTATGCATTTTTCTTTACCCATGATAATTAGAAAGATTACTAAATTACCTACAGAACAAACAAAAAATCATAAAAATCGGACAATTATTAAGAATGATACAGTCCATTAGTTTTGGTATACTTAATAATGTCATCCTGTTTAAAGATATTACATTTAGGAGTCGAATAGTCTACTGCACTTTTTTTTTCCTGTCTCATATATTAACTTTATTATTTCTTAAAGACATTTGGTTGTTCTTACATTTTATTTATTTTTAATAATTTAGAAAATCCCATGATGGGGTCATTATTGTGTCTTTATTACTTTTATTATATTTTCAGTCAGCGTTTAAAAATAGTTCTTGATACAAAACTAAAATACAAAACAATTTGTACAGATATTTTTGTCTATTATGTTTAATGGAATATTGTAATCGACCAAGGAAAAAATATTAATTCCTTCCTTACATAATACATAGGAACTACTTATTTCCATATTGTTTTCCTATTTCTTTACTAAAGAAAATATTTTGCGAATTATTCGCACAGGCCAACTAGTTATTGCTATTACTTTTCTGTAACAGATACTTTTCCTGTATAAAAATAACTGCCGTTCCTAAAAAAGGCTCTTTAGTAAATCACTCAAATATTTAAATTTTATTATATGATTTATTTTTTCTCCCGAAGTTTCATTTGTAGAAATATCTCGATTTTTGACCGAGTTGATGAAATTCACTGTTTGTTTTCCGAAGTTTTTGACCTTATCACATAACCAAATTATTAAGTTGTACAAATCAATTTGTCTAAAAATTACGTTACAGCGACTCAAAATTGGCAAAACGAAAGTAACTTTTTGTATAATTGATTTTACACATTTTTCAATTTTGTTGAAAACGACTCTAACGATTTTGATTAAACCTATCAGGTCAATGTTTTGTGAAATTGTTTGTAATTTAAGTTAGGTTTTATCCTCATTAATGCTGACTGAGCTTAAATTAAACCGTTTTTTGGTGGAACCGTTCCTCGTTCCCTTCCACAAGGAACGGTGAATCTTTAAATATGTGCATAGTATACTTTATCATAAATAACATTGTGGCTCCTATGATACTATTTAGATTAATAGTTACAATTTTTTTTAAATGTTACTAATTAATGTAGATCATGCCAATATGGAAATTTAAATTTGTATAAATGCTTATAATACTTAAACAATTAAAAATATCCACAGTGTTATATAAATAATTTCTCATATATCACCATCTTGTCGGACTAAAAAAAAATTGTGACACTGTTATAATTAAATGAATAGTAACAATATATTCTTTAAGGTGAATGAATAGTCACATAAAATGGAATAAATTAAATGGATTAGATGCGTTGAAAAATGTATGATATTAATTGTTTTTTTTTCTTTTTTATTGAGTATTAATATAGTCTGCCACACTGAAGGGCATTGGTACTAGGGCTATAGTATTCATTCATACAATATGTACTTAAGAAAGGAAAAAATATATAAATAACCTAAGTAGGAAAACAAATTTATATATACATATAAATGTAAAGATAAAATAAGATACAAGATAAGTAAAATAAAAGATTAAAGCCGAATGATAATAAAATAAATAAAACACATTGACACGTATGTACAATATTTACATTGGTCCAGGGAATCAATCTTTGTACCTAGTGTTGCCCAAAATAGGTCTTGGTCTTGCAAAGTGCAAGACCAAGACCTAGACCAAGACTCGTCTCGGTCTCACATTTGGGCAACACTATTTGTACTCCAAATGTGAAAATCAAAGCAGGACTCCAGGAGATCCCAGCCGCCTAACTGGTATTAATTGTTTTGCATTAATATATTGTACCGTCTAGAATTTTTATTTTCTCCTATTTATATCCAAAGTAGTGTGGTAAGTGAAAGTTGTGTGATCCGCACACCGTACCTAATGATTCTAATCACAGCATATTTTCCGCAAAGCTTTAATGTGCACAGGAGGTCAAAACGTTTTGAGACTCCTGGAAGGAACAAAGTTAAAAAACGATATGAGAAGGAGTTGATCGGGGTGTGCGGTCAAATAAATACTAAATGATAGAAATAGTATTATTCAATTATTATGCCGACGTTTAGACCATGTACCTTTTACATTTTGCATCTTTTGTAGCCCTGATGAAGACCTGCAAGAAGGATCGAAACGTCGGAATAATAATTAAATAATACTATTTCTATCATTTTAGGGAGTGGGGTAGCTCAGTGGTAGGGCACTGAGCTTCCAATGCAAAGGTTCCAGGTTTGAACCCCGGCTCATGGCAGAAAATTTATTTATCTGTTTCATTGGCCGTGGGGCGACTCTGGGTTGAGAGTCCCTCCTGGGGCACACCCAGCCTCTATAAAGTGGGTACCCTTAATTAAATAATTAATTAAGGGGGAAAACCTGGCGGTTGAGCGAAATCACCTCCTTGCAAAACCGTTGACCTAGAAACAGTACTGTACTTTCCCTAAATAGTACTGAACCCCAGACCCTTCATGGGTTGTAGTGGTACAGGTTTTTTTTTTCTATCATTTAGTATTTATTTTTGGGGCTCCACCAAACCATCGAATTCCTATCGTATCCAATCTTTACAATCCAAAATCCTTAATGCTCCATACTTTGTCACAAATAAAACCATTCATAAAGACCTTAATGTACCATATGTCGCTGATTTAACCCGAGACAGATATTTTTCCTTTCTTTCCCTTGTTTCCACCCTTGCTTGTTCATCGATCCCTGATAATCCTCCTAGGTGACTGAAAAGGAGATGGCCTCGTGATCTTCTTACTTAGAATTATTTAGGGAGTGTTACCACTGGGTAGTATCTCTTCAAGCCTGTACATGTCATTATTTCTATTTTCTGCATATTTACTAGTTGTATTTATATATAGTTGTAAATTTCATTAAATAAACAAAAATATGTATTTATTTATCAACCATCTCAACATCATTAAAAAACGATACGTCCAGCTTCCCTTAAAGTATTTCAATATAACGATTTGACAAAAGAACACTTCAAGTCATAAATTGAAAGTCTACCCTTCTAAAGGAGCTGACAGATATTAAGGTTTTCACTCCGGCTAATTAGGGATAGAAGTTTGAATTATGCCTCAAAGTGCTGTTTGTTTCATGGCGAAATGACAAGAGAAAACGTTAACGATTTCGTTTCTATAAATAAAGTAGACGCCTAGAAGGCGATACGGCGGTTATTAATCAAAATAAAAGTTGGGAGGCGGCGTGGTGGGGGGGGGGAGGGGAGGCGGCAGCGCGCGCATCGGTGGCGGGAACCGAACGGAGAGGCGGCAGACACCCGCGGTACTCCCGTCGGACAGGATGTTCGGCGAGCCGCGGTCCACCACCCTCACGCTCGTAGCCTTGGGGGCGGGTCTGCTGCTCTACCTGCCAGCTCGGCCTCCGACCGCCCCTGAGCAGCCTCCGCGGAGCTCTGGACAGCACCAGCTCCTCAACTGCACCAGCCTGGAAGAGGTCACCGACCTGGAGTGGGTGGCCAGCGGATGGACGAAGGCGGTCTACAGGGGACGTCTTCGGGGGAGGGACATCGCCGTCAAGACGGTCAACCTGGATGGCCATGACATCGAGTCCTGTCTGGCCCGGCCCGAGGCGCCTTCCCTGGCACGCTGCTATCGCAGGACATCCGCCAAGATCCTGCGAGAACTCATCCTTCTACAAGAGTTGGACCATCCCAATGTCATTAAGGTGAGGGTCCTAGCTCTCCATTCTTAGCTCCTTCTATAGCAGCTATTGTCGTAATACAGGAGCCTTGTATGCTTTAATTCTTATTTTCTAGGTATATAAATAAGAATATTTTTTTCCCTATGATTTATTCTCCTATTCATTCATCTCAATTACATCATTACATCATAATGTTTCGGGAACCACTTATATCCCATCTTCAGACTAGAAATTACAACATATCTCTATCAACAATTATATATAAACAATATATCATTTATTAATATAACTACAATAATTTAATTTTTATTTTATTTTGCTAATCTTACCAGTATCCCGTATCATCTTATTTCCCATAAGACTTGTCCTTTAATTAAAATGTTTTATTATTGTCCTATTGCTAAAATGAAGTAATTTTAAATTTATTACTTATTTAATTATTAATATTATTATATGTAAAATCAGTAAATATGTAATTAATCTCTAGTATATGCCCTATAATAGATCACATGCTATAAGGTTTTAAAGTGTTTTGTTCATGATTTATAAAATATTATGGTAAATGAATAGGTAATAGACACTTATAATAGAGTAATTTATTACACTTATAATAGAGTAATTTTCCACTTTATTGTGAAGCATAGTTTTAATTCTGACGGTGTATCTTTGCGAATGGGTTTGATTGACAGTAAATGTAGTATTTCATAGATTATTTTTCTATAAAGTCAACTAGTTAATTATTCATTTAAAAAAAATAAGGAAATTCTGTTATAGAGTTTATTGCACTACTAACAGACACAAGTTTTGAGGGCAATAGATTTTTTATATAATCAAATAAATAAATTCTGTACATTTTAAACTAATAAATGACAAATTCTACAGAGAAGTGATAAGGAAATTTCTCTAAGACAAACCCCAACATTACAACATCAACCGCCAATCGGCTATTGTGGCAGGACTTCGCTCGAGGTTCAAGGCATCGGCCTCTTAAAAGTTTTAGTAGCAAACCTATATTTGCAATATTTCTAGGATTAATGTGTCCTAGAAATTTTTAGTTAATGAGTTGAAAACTGTCTATTGCTACGTTTACCTTAAATTAGAACTGCTGTCAAGCAAATGCAGATCTACGGGGAATTTCGGGCTGAAGTCCCCCCAAAATAGTAAAATATAATCATGTTTTATAGAAAAAAATATTAAAAACTATCTCTTAAAGTATTATTGTACATTTAATAGGATTCCAACAATCACTTAAATACTATTTCATATATGTCATATAGGTAGTTTATTTCTTTTTTTTTTTCAAATTAGTTATGGTTATTTATATGAAAAAAAACAAAAAAAAAAACATTTGGGCTAAAGCCCCCAAAAAATTTAAATCCTGGCTACGCAAGTGCTGTCGAGTATAAAATAAAAATATTAATAATTAATTTCTTCATTTATCCTAAGGGAGGTACTTATTTTCTAGGTATATAGGTATTCTAGGTATTTTCTAGGGTAATATTAAATAATAATATTCTTCCATTCATTCCACTCAATTACATCATTACATTAGAACGTTTCGGGATCCACTTATATCCCATCTTCAGACTAGAAATTACAACATATCGCCATCAACAATTATATATAAACGATATAGCCTTTATTAATATAACTACAGACAACAATAATTTAATTTTTATTTTATTTTGTCAATCTCACCAGTATCCCGCATCATCTTATTCTCCATAAGACGTCATATTAATTAAATTGTTTTATTATTGTCCTATTATTACTATAATTATTACTATTATTATATGTATTTAACTATTTTCAATGTTGAATATGTTACCTGAAAATCCTATTTTAGTCTCCTCTAGGAAGAGCTTAGTCAGATACTGAAAATTAAACTTTAAGCAAGGGGTCAAACTTCAATTCTTATATTTATTTTTATATATCTGATTTGTTTATAAGATAAGCATAGTGACTTCCTATTTTAGCCGCATCGGTTTTAAAAAATATTAATAGCTGTTTTATTTAAAACCGATGCGGCTAAAATAGGGAGTCACTATGCTTATCTTATAAACAAATCAGATATATAAAAATAAATATAAGAATTGAAGTTTGACCCCTTGCTTAAAGTTTAATTTTCAGTATCTGACTAAGCTCTCCCTAAAGGAGACTTAAAATAGGATTTCCAGGTAATATATTTAACATTGAAAATAGTTAAATACATATAACAATATTAATAATTAATATAGTAATAATAGGACAATAATAAAAAAATTAAATTAATATGACAAGTCTTATGGAGAATAAGATGATGCGGGATACTGGTAAGATTGATAAAATAAAATAAAAATTAAATTATTGTTGTTTGTAGTTATATTAATAAATGCTATATTGTTTATGTATAATTGTTGATAGGGATATGTTGTAATTTCTAGTCTGAAGATGGGATATAAGTGGATCCCGAAACGTTATGATGTAATTGAGTGGAATAAATGGGAGAAGAAATAACTGGGAAAAAAATATTCTTATTTATATACCTAGAAAATAAGTATCACCCTTAGGATAAATGAAGAAATTAATTCTTATTATTTTTTATTTTATACTTGACAGCACTAGCGTATCCAGGATTATATGTTTTGTGGGGCTTTTGCCCAAAAGTTTTTAAAAAATATAAATAACGATAACTAATTTGAAAAAAAAATAACTAACTACCTATATGATATATATGAAATAGTATTTAAGTGATTGTTGGAATCCTATTAAATGTACAATAATACTTTAAGAGATAGTTTTTAATATTTTTTTCTATATAACATGGTTATATTTTACTATTTTGGGGAGGCTTCATCCCGAAAGCTCCACGTAGATCTGCATGTGCTTGACAATAGTTCTAATTTAAGGTAAATTTAGCAATAGACAGTTTTCAACTCATTAGCTAAAAATTTCTAGGACATATTAATTCTAGAAATATTGAAAATATAGGTTTGCTACTAAAACTCTTAAGAGGCCGATGCCTTGAACCTCGAGTGAAGTCCTGCCGTACAATAGCCGATTGGTAGTTGATTTTTTAATGAAGCAAGCCTGGGATTTCTGTTAGAGAAGTTTCTTTATCACTTCTCTGTAGAAAATAAGTTTGAAATTTGTCATTTATGAGTTTAAAATGTACAGAATTTATTTATATGATTATATAAAAAACCTATTGCCCTCAAAACCTATGTCTATTACTGATGCAATATACTCTTATCTGAATTCTCTAAGGTTTTTTTTATGAATGATTAACTAATTGACTGTATAGAAAAGAAAATCTATGAATTTCTACATTTACTGTCAATTCAACCCATTTGCAAAGATACGCCGTCAGAATTAAAAATGTTCACATTAAAGTTGAATATTACTTTAATAGTGTGTAATACCTGTTTATTTACCATACTATTTTATAAATCATGAACAAAACACTTTAAAACTTTATAGTATCTGATCTAATATAGTGCATATACTGGAGATTAATTTCAAATTTACCGATCTGTAGTCAATAAAATCCACAAAATATAAAGAAATATATTTAATAATATAATAGAAGTACACAATTTAATACAAAGTATAAATAATTAGTTCTGTAGAACTTATGTTTACTTTGACAATGTGCTTGCCGGTTTTCGCTAAATGCATGACAGCTGATACTCAAATATTTGACTGCTATTTACGACTAAATGTATTGTCTTTTTTTTTTTTTTTAATTTTGTAATAAGCTAAACATTTTATTCTATTATTAAGAGGTTATTTCAGAGATAAGTGACCATCAGCTACGGCAGACCCAGAAAAATAAGAAATATTTAAAAATTAGTTTCTACATTTTATTTATTTATGTAACTTAACACTAATAGCTAGTATACCTGAATAAAAACCGTTACATTAGTTAGTTATGCTTCTTAGAGGATAGATGTTTATTCATAAATTAGTCCGTGGTACAGACCTCTTTTTATCAAATTATCAACATCCGCCTGAGACGTAGTGAATAGCTTCACCTCTTCGTAACCTAAAAATATTTATTTGCGAAAACTCTCTAAATTTGGTCGTTTTCAATCTGAAGATCGGCAAACTTAGCCTTTTTAATTATTTACTAAAAACTCGTAAAGACGCATTTGCTTTCCGCTTGTATCGTAAGATAATTTTAGAATTAATTCGAGAAAAAGGTGGCCTACAAAAATATTGGGCTGTTTGGCCTATATAACCTCGTTGTTTGCCATTTTTTGAGGTGTAGGTCACGCCAAACTGCTCAATACTTTTGAAAGCCACCTTTTTTCCTCGATATTGTGCTCAAATTATCTTACAATTGAATTGGAAAGCAAATGGGTACTTATGAGTTTTTATTACCTAATTAAATTGACAAAGTTTGCCGATTTCCATATTAAATCCCCCGATTCCGAAAATGTTCGTAAATATAACAGAGTTAGGTTACGATGAGATGGAGCTATTTACGAAGTTTCAGGAGGATATTAATAATTTGATAAAAAAAAGGGGTCTGTACCACGGACTATATACAGTATGATATTATCAATATAAAAATGTTCAACACATACAGTTGGTGAGGATTTATTACAACTTTGCCACTACTGTCAGAGTAATCATTTCTTTAATAACTGATTATCTTGTTCCACTGGAAAGTAACAGGTTATTTTAATATGTAGCCAATAAGAGACTGCTATCCCTGAACTTAAATAGTAATCGAAGAGAAGTTGATTAGGGTGTTCTGTCAAAATACAAAGTGAAAATAAATGAATTATATTTATTTTAATTTTTGCCGACGTTTCGTCCCAAAGTTCAATCCCTTATCTGGGTAAGGAAAGACAAAATCAAAATAAGTATGAGAAACTATTAACAGTAAAAAATGTATAGTCTGGTAACATGTAGCTGGAATAAATTTAATAAATTTAACGTTACTAAATAATAGAAAGGCAGAAATATGAAATAAAAAAAAAATCTGTATCACTACAACTCAGAAGGGTCTTCCGTTCAGTACTATTCAGTACTACTCTCAGCCGCCAGGTTTTTCTCCTTAATTA